CAGCAGGACACAGACAGTTTAGACACCAGCAGGATAAACTGCATTTGCCATAGTCATTTGCCAGTAAGTAGAATAAAAGAAAACCACTGCTTTCCATAAAAAGGAACATAATGAGCCAGAGACAACTGCTTGACCTTGGTCTGCCACCACTCTGCAGCTCAGGAATTCCTTTATTATTATTATTATTAAACTTGGTTAGGATGCTGTTACTCAAAAAGGCTGAAAATCTCCCCTGTCTGGGTGTCGGAGCACAGGGAGCCTCCAGCTTACCTGCACAAGTTTGCTTCCCATGTGATTTACCAGGAAGTCATATAAGCAGAGATGGTTTGAAGCGTATCTCTGCCTTTCCCCTGAGAAATCCTGGACGGATGAAGACAGCTGGCTAGGCACTGCTGGGCAGGTTATGTGAGTTGCAGGCAGGTACAAGGATCTTACTTGGAGGACACAAGCTGATAGCAGAAGCTACATGTATAGTTCACTCACTGAATTTCTCCACCTACTAGTGCTCACTCAAAAAGCTCTACTAAAGGACTCCAGACCTGCTTTGAGTTTGTTGCAGTTCAATAGTGCAGTGACTCCTTAGAACACAGAGCAGCTGCTTAAGACCATATCAGGATTCTCACCAGCTGAGTGAGACAGTAATATGAAGAAAACTTACTCAGTTACACTGCAGGAATACTAAGCCACACAAAACTTATGAACAATCACAATCTGTATTAATTTTAAAATCAACTTCCAGACAAGATACTTTTTACCATCCTATCTTTGATGGGATTAATAAAAAGCTTTTTTTTTTTTTTTTGTAAAGCTTTGGCACTTACCCAAATCTGCAGTTTCACCCTCTTGTCATTCCTGTAAACTGTTTTCACTTTGAAGTCAATCCCCACTGTGCTAACGAAGGCTTGTGTGAAAGTGTCATCGGCGTATCTGAAGAGGAAGGATGTTTTACCCACGCTGCTGTTGCCAATGATCAGGAGCTTGAACATGTAATCAAAATTTTGATCTGAAGTATCTTTTTGCCTGTATCTGGCATCCGTTACTGAAGCCATCTGAGAAAATGACACAGAAAAAGAACAGACCTAAGAGCAGTTCAGCGTTTTCGTTTTCCTGAATTGTGTGCCATATGCTTAGCTTATCTCACTTCTTTCTAATGTCATAACCCCTATATTTGCTGAAGAAAGAGGAACACACCTTGAAATCTTCTTTTAAATCCTGATTAACATTTCTGTTGTCCACTCGTACTGGTAAGGTGTCCAAATCAAAAAAATACACCTGTTGCACTGCTTTGTGTTCAAAGGAATAACAGATGGCTACTGCAGATTGTTCAAATACTAGTGGGGAAACAGCATTCTTTACTCCTGTGGCAAGGTGCCACAGCTGTTGCTCCAAAAAAAAAATGGAACACTGCAACCAGGGACTGAAATCGTTGACACTACAGCCAGCTCTGCAATTAATTAAGCAACCTCCAAGGCAGGTAAACCTAAATAATTCCTTTAATGACTATTAGGAAAAATCTGCATTTCTAGCACATGCACCACCACCATTTTATCCTCAGAAAAGTTCTGTCCTCAACATTTACAGAAGAAGGAAAAAAAAGGAAAAAAAAAAAAAAGAAAAAAGCAGTCATAGGAAAAGATGAAACACCAGGAATTTCAGCTGCAAACTTTGAATCCGCCCAACACCTATCTGCTCTCAAGACTGCAATTAAACTAAACAGCACCTGCATAAAACATGAGGGCTCAGCAGGGCTGCAGGTAGCACTTGGAATGGATAAATTATCCCTTTTTATTAAGGAGATGTGAGAGTTGGGGACGTTTGTGGGGTAGGGAGGGGGGAAGATGCAGCCTCAGAGATCTCTCCTTCTCTTGTGACCCTGAATTGGATTAAGAAACAAAAAACAACTGCAGAATCTGAAATATCAAGACAGATGGTACTCACTGAGCAGCCCTGGCTGCTTTAATGTATGCAGCTCAGACAACTCCATGGGAGAAAGCCCTGATGTTTCAGCTCTCTAAAGAGCAGAAGACAACCACATAAACCAAAGTACTACAGAGAGGAGAAAAAGGAAAATTTAACTTTTAACAGATACACCACACTTTTAATATCTAATGCTGTTTCAAAACCTACCCCACATCAAACAAGCAAAGGTCTTGGCTCCTTAGAACCATCCAGGGGGTTGTGCAAACTGGGGCAATGACAACACGGGTCTGATTAGCAGCTACTCATCCCAACTACGACATGTGCTACTTGAGTGCAGTGTCAGAAACACATCCAAACGAATAAGCTAATATTCCCCTCAACTCAGATGCATGGGCAAATCTGGAAACAAAACTCCCACCAATGTCTACTCTGTCTATGTGCCCAAATACTTCTTCCTTAGCAAGTCTCACCTGCACACAGGACTTCACTCACTTAGAAAACCAAAACCCACTGTAGTTAAACAGCTATAAACCAAAATGCTGTCCAAAGGCAGTTTCCATTGGCATGACAATTCAACTTAAACTCCCAACAGAGGGGAAACAAACCAAAGCCAACCCCCTTGAAACCTCAGCAAAATACACAAGTTTCTCTCTGATTAAACACATGCAACTTTCTCACATAGAAAAGGGCTGGTGCAGCAGACGTTTCATTCACAGACTGCATTAGCAAGGACAGTTTCTGTAGAACTTTATCAGTAGCTCAATAGTTTATACCTGCACTAAGTGCAGTAAAGTCTTCCCAACAATGATTCTCTGTTAGATACAATTCTGATACATGCTCTTCTGAACTTCAGCTACTAGTCAGTAAGACTACAGTCCTTTTAGAGCACCCCAGAAAATGCAAGTACAATTTTTCACTAGTGTATTGAAAATTACTCTTCTACCCATGGCTTGTGGTTCTTAACAGGAATTCCTAAAATGAATACTTCAACATCCAACTGACTTCTAAGAACAATGTTAGAAATCTCAGATGCAAAACACTACGAATCTAGACTATTAGTTGATTTGTACCATCACCAAGCTGGAAGATAGAAGTTTCCTATTTCAGTAATTTACCTTACTCATTCACCTACAAAAGTTCCATAAAATGCCATTGAGAACATGCATGAGCTTGCTTAAAAAGGGAAAAAAAAATAATTAAAAATCTCTACTGCTCCATTCTGCCCATACAGGGTTGAAAGAAGTGAGATGCCCTCATCACTTGAAGGCTGGTCATTTAAAGATTCAGAGGCAGACCTTTAACAAAGAAGTCTCCCACTAATCATACAGGAATCAATATCTTCTTTCTGCCCCTGCCTTTGCAGAATCCATCCACACACTCCAAGCTGATCTTTTAAATTAAACACTGCTGCCTCCATTAACCCCCCTAGATTGGTACAATCAAAAGTGTACCTGGCTACAAATGCGACTTTCACATCTCGGTTAAAAGAAGCCATTACAGAATGTGGCCAGCTAGAGCAGCTTTGTTAGAAGCACAATGCAGAAAATAAGATCAAATGATACTTGCACAGAGCACGGGGCTGTTGTCATAGAAGCACAACACTCCCTGGCCTGTGCCTGCCACCGTACAGTGCTGAAGATGCTGCAGGATGACTCCTTCCATCGTTAGAGGCAGCGCTGGAGAACACGGATTTCAAAGAAAATTCAAACCCCTTGCTTAAATTTGACTTCTCCCTTTTCCCTCCTCTAGCCAATAGAGTGAGACTGAAAGGACTTCAGTACTAATTACTGATTACTTCTCTGATTGCAGATCATTAGTGAAGCTGTGCTCCACCAGCATTTGGACAGAAAGTGTTCTCAGGGCTTCCCCTGAATTTGTGCTTGAATTCTGAAGCAGGAACCAGTAGGAACCTTTCTCCCAATTCTCCTTCCCTCTTGCTGTCCCACCACTGCTTCAAGTACTCCCTAGTCCTGAGGACCTCGCAGAGAGCTGGTGCAGAGAACAGAGAGAGCCCAGCTTAAAATAAATCCTCCTACAACTTCTCTTGTTTTTCAGGGCTGTTTTAAAAGTTGGTTCAGTTCCTGATCCAGCACCACCGAGGGCACCGAGCGGAGGGGACTGAGTGGTGGGAAGCGATGGCAGTTGCTATGTTACCAAGAGAAAGGTCCATGAAATCACATTTCCTGCAGGCCCTCCACACCTGATGGAGATCCAGCATCAGAGGGAAAAGGTGACAACATGCCAGTGTCATGCAGCTCCCATCCAACTCGGCACAACAGCTCACACAGCCATCACTCCCAGAGGGTTTTATTCCCCCCTGGGTGAATGGACGTGTAGCTGGCAGTGTGACCCCCTGCACTCTGGGGACATGGCTGCAAACACTCCTTACTTAGGATGACTCCAAAAACAGCAGCATCTCTGCTGCTTTCCAAGGACACAAAGACTAACTAGGGGTTTGTTAGAGAAGACCAAGACAAATATGACTGGCACGCAGAGCACAAAAGAGGCTCGTGGCTCTTTCCATTCTGACTGCCTTGGAATAATCCTCAATAAAATACCTATTCAGGCAAGATTTAGCTGCATTACAGAAAACCCATTACACAGGAGAAGAAAAAGCTGCCGATCAGATTGTCCTTAAGAACACTTCAGTACAACAAGACCTTGCATCTTACAGTTCTTTGCCTGGGTAACCCACCTTTGTGTCCAAGAGCTCACTAATACTGACAGCCTCTTTCCTCCATATGCTTTAGCAATGGGAACTAGGTCTCAAATACATCCACTTTAAGGTAGTTTTGTGAGAATAGGCAGTTATGTAGCTATGAGATACCTTATATTTCCCTATTGAGGGAAAAACCTGCAGTGTGAGCTTGTCTTTTATTAGACATAGAAACCACATAGGAGGAATATGCTACAAATGCTCTAAAGCAATAAAACAGTAATCAGAGCTTATTGGCCACCAAAGAATACATTCTTCAATCAAGGTGGCTCTCCTGCCTTTGTCTCCTATGTTGGTCTAACAAGGTTTAAAAAGAAGAAGCCTCTCACCCTGAGACACCTCCATGGGAAACCAGCCTCTGTTGCTTTCAGTATTCACTGAAATGTGTCATACAGAGGGCTCCATACAGTTGTGCTCTTTAATCTGTAACCAAAAGAACAGTGAAGAATCAAACTGTTTTACAGTGCAACACACACCATCAAAGTGTTACTGCTGCCCCTGTCCTGCAGTATTTACTGCCTACAGCCAACTTCAGTGAAAGCAGCACATGGACTGTCTAAAGCTGAGAGGGTTGGCTAAAAATCCACTGGTATGTCTCACCACCCACTTACCAGGCAAAAAGAGAAGGGGCACAGTCACAAATACAGCCCTTCCTGTTAGACTCCAGGCTATCCGTAGGCACTGAGGAGTGCAGAAGGACAACAGAGATTGCTAGACACACTTACTGTGTAAAAGCAGAAATAATGAGGCTAACAAAGGTAGAATTTAAAAAAAAACCAAAACCAAACACGACACATCTACATAGTGCTAAAGTCAATACATTGTTCGAAGTCAAATAGATCACTGGTGCAAAGGCTCTCAAAGAAGAGCATTGTAGACAGCTCTGAAGATGCTAAAAGACTGTGGAAACAAGTCTGGAAGTTATGTGGTAGGGAAGAAGCAAAAAAGTTGCTAAACCAAAAGATTTCTTCACCCTTGAGAGACATTACTGACATGCAAGTTAAATTATTTTTTGAAAAGTTAATACCTTGTGGGGTTTTTTCCCCAAAAAGCTTTAAAAAGTGCATCTACATAAAAAATATTCTAGCTGACAAATTACACACCTATGTCAATTCTTGGTTATAAAAACTCACCTGATGTGCTCTCTCATCTGAAAAAAAATTATTTTTTTTCAGGAATTAAATCCTGAATCAGATTTCTATCAAGCAATGGAATTTATTTTACAGCTAATGTATGCTATCCTAAGAATAAATCTCACACAGGCAATAAGGCTGTGACCTTAAGGAGTCTTATACAAATGCAGGAGATTTATTAGAGGCAGAAAACAAAGCATGAGCAATCAACATAACTGCTAAAAAATATTGCAAGCAAGTGACAGCTACCAATTTAGATCTATGAAACAGATGGAGGTTT